TGTTAACAGCCTGTACTGGTCTTGGTACTGGGTAGTGTCACTGTTAACAGCCTGTACTGGTCTTGGTACTGGGTAGTGTCACTGTTAACAGCCTGTACTGGTCTTGGTACTGGGTAGTGTCACTGTTAACAGCCTGTACTGGTCTTGGTACTGGGTAGTGTCACTGTTAACAGCCTGTACTGGTCATGGTACTGGGTAGTGCCGCTGTTAACAGGCTGTACTGGTCTTGGTACTGGGTAGTGTCACTGTTAACAGCCTGGACTGGTCTTGGTACTGGGTAGTGTCACTGTTAACAGCCTGTACTGGTCTTGGTACTGGGTAGTGTCACTGTTAACAGCCTGTACTGGTCTTGGTACTGGGTAGTGTCACTGTTAACAGCCTGTACTGGTCTTGGTACTGGGTAGTGTCACTGTTAACAGCCTGTACTGGTCTTGGTACTGGGTAGTGTCACTGTTAACAGCCTGGACTGGTCTTGGTACTGGGTAGTGTCACTGTTAACAGCCTGGACTGGTCTTGATACTGGGTAGTGTCACTGTTAACAGCCTGGACTGGCCTTGGTACTGGGTAGTGTCACTGTTAACAGCCTGTACTGGCCTTGGTACTGGGTAGTGTCACAGTTAACAGCCTGTACTGGCCTTGGTACTGGGTAGTGTCACTGTTAACAGCCTGTACTGGTCTTGGTACTGGGTAGTGTCACTGTTAACAGCCTGTACTGGCCTTGGTACTGGGTAGTGTCACTGTTAACAGCCTGTACTGGCCTTGGTACTGGGTAGTGTCACTGTTAACAGCCTGTACTGGCCTTGGTACTGGGTAGTGTCACTTAACAGCCTGTACTGGCCTTGGTACTGGGTAGTGTCACTGTTAACAGCCTGTACTGACCTTGGTACTGGGTAGTGTCACTGTTAACAGCCTGTACTGGCCTTGGTACTGGGTAGTGTCACTGTTAACAGCCTGTACTGGCCTTGGTACTGGGAAAGATTACTCCCAACGTGAAGACCAGTGACAAAAGTTCAGAATCAAGGGTTTTCTTGCCAAACTTCTTTCATAATGCCGCCCAACTTTGCTCATCTCCTGGCCGCTTTATTTACTACGAAGACGCAGTGTGGCTCCACCAGCCAGCACACGGATCAAAGCGTATTCCCAATTAAATGCTGGAAAATTAGCCAGAGTCATAAAGCTGCTCTATTACTGCCACCTCCATCATCGCGTATATATATAATCTCGCACGTCACTGCCCATTATTTTCCCCTCAACGCCACCTACCAGGGTCACCCCTTTCACCCACTGGACCCTTCACCCACCCTTCACCCACCCCTTCACCCAAATAGTAATGGTTTCAGATACTTGTCCAGCACTGATCACCTCCGGAAAGATATTCAAATGGATGCTTGTCGCTGTCGGTGTAATTGGTAGGAACACCGAGATGTAACTGGTAGATATAACGAGGTGTAACTGGTAGATACACCGAGGTGTAATTGGTAGATACACCGAGGTGTAATTGGTAGATACACCGAGGTGTAACTGGTAGATACACCGAGGTGTAACTGGTAGATACACCGAGGTGTAACTGGTAGATACACTGAGGTGTACCTGGTAGATACACAGAGCACTGGAGCGACCTGCATGCTCCCGTTGTGTACTGCTCAGGCAAGGTATACTCTCTCTCTCTCTCTCTCTCTCTCTCTCTCTCTCTCTCTCTCTCTCTCAGGCAGGAACAGTAATGACTGGAGTCTCACTCACCATCGGTGATTAAGAACTTCCCACTGACGTTCTAACGTCACTTCTCAGTTACCTGGAGGTGCACAGCCTCTTGCTCCATCTGGCTCTCAAACTCTGCAATAATCGTGCATGGGCTTGACTGTGTGTATTCACCTAGTTGTGCTTGCAGGGGTTGAGCTCTGCTCTTTCGGCCCGCCTCTCAACTGTCAATCAACTGTTATTAACTACTAAATTTTTTTCCACACACACACACACACCCGAAGCAGCTCGTAACAGCTGTCTAACTACCAGGTACCTATTTGCTGCTAGGTAACAGGTGCATCAGGGTTAAAGAAACTCTGCCCATTTGTCTCTGCCTAGTCCGGGAATCGAACCCGGGCCACAGGATTACGAGTCCCGCGCGTTGTCCACTCAGCTACCAGACCTGTGTGTGTGTGTGTGTGTGTGTGTGTGTGTGTGTGTGTGTGTGTGTGTGTGTGTGTGTGTGTGTGTGTGTGTGTGTGTACTTACCTACTTGTGCCTCCAGGATCGAGCATTGAGTCTTGGATCCCGCCTTTCTAGCCATCGGTTCTTTACAGCAATGACTCCTGTCCCATTTCCCTATCATACCTAGGTTTAAAAATATTGAATAGAGTTTGCTTCCACAACCTGCTCCTTAAGTGCATTCCATTTTTCCACTACTCTCACGCTAAAAAAAAAACTTCCTAACATCTCTGCGACTCATCTGAGTTTGCAGTTTACTAACTGACGTCATACGAAAGCACAGTTTACATAGGGAAGATTACATACGGCCGCTCACTGTATTATGCGTTGTATACACTGTATTATGCGCTGAATACACTGCATTATGCGCTGAATACATTGTATTATTCGCTGTATACACTGTATTATTCGCTGCATACGTTGCATACACTGTATTATGCGCTGTATTCTACTGTATTATGCGCCTTATACGTTCAAACATGTCTCGAACAAACTCCAAGATCAAGTATCATTAACTGAAATTGCTTTCAAAGGCCGGGTAGTGTCACTGTTAACAGTGTCACTGTTAACAGTGTCACTGTTAACAGTGTCACTGTTAACCCCCCCCCCAAGCACACTACTGACCTTCCCCGTGACGAAAGCCTCAGCAGCTGCCTAACTCCCGGATACCTACTTTACTGCCAGGTGAAGAGGTGCATTAGGTGAAACGAAATGTGTTCAACTGTTTCCGTTCCGGAGGACTGAACCCGGGGTCCCCACGACTGTGAATCAAGTGCGTGGACCACTGTGCTACAGGACCCACTCTCTTCTTGAGATCATCAGGCCTCCACGCCCAGGAAGCAGCCCGTGACAGCTGACTAACACCCAGGTACCTATTTTACTGCTAGGTAACAGGGGCATAGAGTGAAAAAAACTCTGCTCCGTTGTTTCTCGCCGGCGCCTGGGATCGAACCCGGGACCACAGGATCACAAGTCCAGTATGCTGTCCGCTCGGCCGACCGGCTCCCTCTCGCATATAAACATACCCCTGTGCAAACACTCACTATATTCAATATTCACTATACAAACATTCACTATATTCACTATACACTATACCGCACATTACACAATATTCACTATACAAAGTGCAATACAACACGTACGATGCCGCAACATAAAACATAGTACAAAACATACAAGAATACAATGTATAATGCATGCTATACATTATACAGCAAAGCCGCACAGGGGGATATAATACACAAATATATGTGGTGGAGGCTGACTCCATACACAGTTTCAAGTGTAGATATGATAGAGCCCAGTAGGCTCAGGAATCTGTACACCTGTTGATTGACGGTTGAGAGGCGGGACCAAAGAGCCAGAGCTCAACCCCCGCAAACACAACTAGGTGAGTACAACTAGGTGAGTACAAACTCGAAAACAGGCGAAAGGCAAAACCCCCGTTAAGAGAAAAACGGAGTGTAATTTTCGCTAATATTCCACCCAAAAATAGCTTGTCAAACAACCAATTACGCCAAAATTTGTCACATCCGCCGGAAGAGCCACGAAAGGGAGTTAATAACCCCGCAACAAACCTCCACTGCCACCATTACCCTTAATTACAAAGGTCAGTATACACGCGCGTGAGTGTGTGTGTGTGTGTGTGTGTGTGTGTGTGTGTGTGTGTGTGTGTGTGTGTGTGTGTGTGTGTGTGTGTGTGTGTAATTACCTAAGTGTAGTTACAGGATGAGAGCTACGCTCGTGGTGTCCCGTCTTCCCAGCACTCTTCGTCATATAACGCTTTGAAACTACTGACGGTCTTGGCCTCCAACCACCTTCTCACCTAACTTGTTCCAACCATCTACCACTTGTTCCAACCGTGTGTGTGTGTGTGTGTGTGTGTGTGTGTGTGTGTGTGTGTGTGTGTGTGTGTGTGTGTGTGTGTGTGTGTGTGTGTGTATGGGTATTATATAAGGGATGGCTGGGTACGGTTACGAAGCATCAAAGCTAAAACCTATCAAGCAAGATATATTAATAAAAACTAAATCTAATCTCAACTACCAATGTGAAATAGTTCTCAATAAGCATGGGTTGACTGTTGTAAATCTAGTGGTCATTGTGCCGGCAGGAGGAATGTCAGCGCGGGTTTACCCCCACCAAGGTGGAGGCTGGCTGGTAAACCACCCGAGGTGACAGTATTAGTACCCGGTAAACCCGACAACCACAGTGTCAGTAACAACAACAGTAGAAGCAGCAACAAAAACAGAACAAATGATACCCATAAAAGCATTCGATTCATGTTCTTCTTAAAGGCTCAACATATTATTATGCCCAAAATGCTATGCGTGTTAGTGGCTTTGCAAGAACGTAAAAAAATCAATGCTATGTACTCTCATAAACTCAATATAGCCTCTTGTATATAAATAAATAAACACTCATGAACAATATTAACGCATTTGCACGTCTAAACGCATTACCATAATTGTTTACTCCGTGTGATTTCACAACAACACCACCTTGCAAACCTAAAAATACACTTCATCACTTGTATTTCTATAAATTTAAGTCCACCAATTTGCGTAATTGTACACCATTTTTCACCATCACAGCTTTTATAAGTCAGGCCTCGAGTCTGTATGCCTGACGTTCTCTCTGACGCAGCTCACCCGTTTTCTGTGTCAGCAGCTTATAGTCCTGTGTGTGGATAATTTATCCGTGACTCAGTACGGCTGTAAACAACAAACCTAAACACCCGCATGCACAAAACACACCAATAGGGGGTTCTGCTTGCACGTCCATGACGTAACTGAGGAGGAATGAGCTACGTTACCCCATCTACCGTCGTTGGGAAATTTATGAGACAACAGGATCGACTATCAAGAACAGGAACAGTATCAACAGCAGCAACAGTATCAACAGCAGCAACAGTATCAACAGCAACAAGAGTATTAACAACAGCAGCAGCATTAACAACAGTAGTATCAACAGCAGCAACAGTATCAACAGTAGTATCGACAACAGCAGCAACAGTATCAACAGTAGTATCGACAGCAGCAACAAGGGTATCAACAGTTGTATCGACAACAGCAACATCAACAGTACCAACAACAGAATCAAAAGCAGCAACAACAGTGACAATATCAACAACAACAGTATTATCACTTGGGGGCACTGGTGAATGCCCCAAGTGAAACTGGACAAAAACAAAACAAGAAATTGCTCCTTGACTAACCCAAGCAAGTGCAAGGTTAGGACCGAGGATGGCAGGCTACAGCAAGAATATATAACGAAGGGAAGGCTCCCGGGTGCCATCCCCCGCCTCAGAAACCATCTTGAGGTTATCTTCAGATGATTTCGGGGCTTTAGTGTCCCCGCGGCCCGGTCCTCGACCAGGCCTCCACCCCCAGGAAGCAGCCCGTGACAGCTGACTAACTCCCAGGTACCTATTTACTGCTAGGTAACAGAGGCATTCAGGGTGAAAGAAACTTTGCCCATTTGTTTCTGCCTCGTGCGGGAATCGAACCCGCGCCACAGAATTACAAGTCCTGCGCGCTATCCACCAGGCTACGAGGCCCCATATAACAAAACGAGAAATCGTCCGGAAGATTGCTACAAGGTTGGTCCATGAACTGAACTACGAAGAAAGACTGAAAGAACTAGACCGCACCACGCTAGAAAAGCATAAGATACATGATAACGGGTTGTATGATTGAAGTGGTATTGACAAAGTGAACAGAAGCGAAATGTATACCATGCACAGGGGCAGGATAAAGGAGTATGGATGCAAGTGGAATGAACTAAAGAAAGCGGTTGAGGCTAATTTCATACATAGCTATGTGAGAAGATATTCAATACGTGATTGGTAAAAGGATTTGCTTTTCTTGTCCTCCAGGGCCAATTATTAATCTACGAAGTTGAGAACTGAGAGGAGTTCTTTGGTCTCCTCCACCCTAGACGCACCGACAAGCGAGGTATTAGTTTTGGAGGCACAGATGTTTCCAGACTTTCTTTTGTTTTTTTCCTTTGTCCATCCACTTAAACTGATCGGTACAGCGAAGGCCTTATATCTCGTTGAGTTCAATCCCCGATGGTCCCAGATGATTGGACATTGTTTCTTCATCCCGTTCCTCATATCCGATTTCCTTGTCCTCTTATCCCTTTCAAGGGCAATATAGTCACTGTGGCCTACTGCTTTCTGGTAATTACCTCACCTTACCTTCAAGGTATTGCACTAATTTACACAGCTGAAGTTTCCTATATGGCATTCTCTCTCTCTCTCTCTCTCTCTCTCTCTCTCTCTCTCTCTCTCACCCCCTCTCCCTGCCTCCTGACGTGTTCCCGAGTACCTGAACACGACAGGGGCCAACGATTAATTTACCGAGACGAAATCTGCCGCGAGTGATAAAGTACTGCAGTCTTAACCACAATCAGTCACCATTTTGAATCGTCGAAACTCTTAGCGCCAGATAGATATTTTAGGTTGGAGAACAGGTCTTTCCTGGAGAAAGATTTAGTGAAGGAGAAAGACTTTGCGACGGAAAAAAACTTAGTGAACAAGATACACTCTAGACAGCCCGCCAGCCTTCACTGTGGCCAGCCCGCCAGCCTTGACTGTGGCCAGCCTGCCAATCTCGACTGTGGTCAGCCTGCCAGTCTCGACTGTGGCCAGCCCGCCAGCCTCGACTGTGGCCAGCCCGCCAGCCTAGACTGTGGCCAGCCCGCCAGCCTTGACTGTGGCCAGCCCGCCAGCCTAGACTGTGGCCAGCCCGCCAGCCTAGACTGTGGCCAGCCCGCCAGCCTTGACTGTGGCCAGCCCGCCAGCCTAGACTGTGGCCAGCCCGCCAGCCTTGACTGTGGCCAGCCCGCCAGCCTTGACTGTGGCCAGCCCGCCAGCCTTGACTGTGGCCAGCCCGCCAGCCTTGACTGTGGCCAGCCCACCAGCCTTGACTGTGGCCAGCCCACCAGCCTTGACTGTGGCCAGCCCGCCAGCCTAGACTGTGGCCAGCCCGCCAGCCTCGACTGTAGCCAGCCCACCAGCCTTGACTGTGGCCAGCCTACCAGCCTTGACTGTGGCCAGCCTACCAGCCTTGACTGTGGCCAGCCTACCAGCCTAGACTGTGGCCAGCCCGCCAGCCTCGACTGTGGCCAGCCCGCCAGCCTTGACTGTGGCCAGCCCGCCAGCCTTGACTGTGGCCAGCCTACCAGCCTCGACTGTGGCCAGCCCACCAGTCTCGACTGTGGCCAGCCCGCCAGCCTAGACTGTGGCCAGCCCGCCAGCCTAGACTGTGGCCAGCCCGCCAGCCTTGACTGTGGCCAGCCCGCCAGCCTTGACTGTGGCCAGCCCGCCAGCCTTGACTGTGGCCAGCCCGCCAGCCTTGACTGTGGCCAGCCCGCCAGCCTTGACTGTGGCCAGCCCACCAGCCTTGACTGTGGCCAGCCCGCCAGCCTTGACTGTGGCCAGCCCACCAGTCTCGACTGTAGCCAGCCCACCAGCCTCGACTGTGGTCAGCCCGCCAGCCTCGACTGTGGTCAGCCCACCAGCCTTGACTGTGGCCAGCCCACCAGCCTTGACTGTGGCCAGCCCACCAGCCTCGACTGTGGTCAGCCCGCCAGCCTCGACTGTGGTCAGCCCACCAGCCTTGACTGTGGCCAGCCCACCAGCCTCGACTGTGGTCAGTTCATCAGCCTCGACTGTAGTCAGCCCATCACCTCGACTGTGGCCAGCCCACCAGCCTTGACTGTGGCCAGCCCCACCAGCCTTGACTGTGGTCAGCCCACCAGCCTCGACTGTGGTCAGCCCGCCAGCCTTGACTGTGGCCAGCCCACCAGCCTTGACTGTAGTCAGCCACACCACTGTTGACTGTGGCCAGCCCACCAGCCTTGACTGTGGTCAGCCCACCAGCCTTGACTGTGGTCAGCCCACCAGCCTCGACTGTGGTCAGCCCGCCAGCCTCGACTGTGGTCAGCCCACCAGCCTTGACTGTAGCCAGCCCATCAGCCTTGACTGTGGCCAGCCCACCAGCCTCGACTGTGGCCAGCCCGCCAGCCTCGACTGTGGCCAGCCCACCAGCCTCGACTGTGGCCAGCCCGCCAGCCTCGACTGTGGCCAGCCCACCAGCCTCGACTGTGGCCAGCCCGCCAGCCTTGACTGTGGCCAGCCCGCCAGCCTCGACTGTGGCCAGCCCGCCAGCCTAGACTGTGGCCAGCCCGCCAGCCTAGACTGTGGCCAGCCCGCCAGCCTAGACTGTGGCCAGCCCGCCAGCCTAGACTGTGGCCAGCCCACCAGCCTTGACTGTGGCCAGCCCATCAGCCTAGACTGTGGCCAGCCCGCCAGCCTAGACTGTGGCCAGCCCGCCAGCCTTGACTGTGGCCAGCCCGCCAGCTTTGACTGTGGCCAGCCCACCAGCCTTGACTGTGGCCAGCCTTGACTGTGGCCAGCTCGCCAGCCTTGACTGTGGCCAGCCCGCCAGCCTCGACGTTTCAAAGTGTCATTTTTTATGTGGTGAATTAATTGAATTCCGATATAATGTAGGCAGCTTGGCATAGCTGATGGAAGTGAAGGGATATTAACGAAATGTTTCGAGAAAGAGAGAGAGAGAGAGAGAGAGAGAGAGAGAGAGAGAGAGAGAGAGAGAGAGAGAGAGAGAGAGAGAGAGAGAGAGAGAGAGAGAGAGAGAGAGATGAGAGAGAGAGAGAGAGAGAGAGAGAGAGTGAGAGGAGAGAGAGAGAGAGAGAGAGAGAGAGAGAGAGAGAGAGAGAGAGAGAGAGAGATAATTAAGGAACAGCATGTAGTAAGAAACAAGGAAGAGAAGCAACAATTGACAAGAAAGCGTGACCACCAGACAAGAAAAACAACAAGAAGCAAGGAGAAGGAATAAGCTTCAAGAGGGAGACGAATATAGGCCAAAAACAAGGAGCAAAGAAGAAAAGACAGCAAGAGGAGGAACATGGAGGTAAAACCATTACTTATAATCAATATACATCTTTTTCCTACTTCAAAGTATCTCTCTCTCTCTCTCTCTCTCTCTCTCTCTCTCTCTCTCTCTCTCTCTCTCTCTCTCTCTCTCTCTCTCTCTCTCTCTCTCTCTCTCCTCCCTTCTGACACATGATGGAGGCGGATCTGAGAGGTTCGTGGACACTCAGAATTGCTCAGATTCTCGGGATTCGTGCAACTGGTATAACTTGGTTGAAGATCGGTGGGCGTCCTGGAGGGGACGGGGCGCTGTTTTATGGAGCAGAGGTTCTGTTTAACTGGGAATTGAGCTGTTGTATCAGATGGGGGATGTGTTTTATGGGGGAGACACTGTTTATGGGGGAAGCAACTGCTTAAAAGGGAGAGGATTTCATTTTATGGGCGAGGTTTCTGGTTTATGAGTTGGGCTGCTATTTTTTTTAACACCGGTATTTAACTTGTATCCTAATCCATACTATAGTTTACCTGGTTTCTCCCACTTATTTCCTTCTGATTTCCCTGGTGAGTAACTGCATTGTTATTCAAGTCCAAGTTGTTGGGCTTTATAATACCTCGCAAGACTTTGTGTATGTCGAATTGCATTTACGCGTTAATACAGTGACTGTGGAGCCTATAGCAGTGTAGTTAGACATTACCACGCAGAATACAGACGGGGCAAAGGTGGAAGTTGTCCGCGTTTGAATGAGGAATGTTTCCCAGGAGTCAATCAGTGGAAGGGTAGCCTAGCCACCCACTCTCTTCCCTCGCTCCCTATATACCATTCCCCTATTATCTTCTCTTCGTCTTACCCTTACCTCCTCGAGGTGCTCCTTGGGACACGCTAACAATGGAGGCAACAGCTTCAACACACACACACACACACACTCGCTCACATAAATAAAACACACACACATACACAAGGCGTTGAATAACCAAAACGGTTCTGTCCCAGGCTTAAATTCCCACATATCTTCTCACTCCCTGAACTTCCACCTATATAGCCTATTCCCCACAACCTTCTCCCTACGTCTCCAGTTCATCTCCCAGCTCGCCCTCTCCATCACCTCTCTCTTACGCCCCCGCAGGTAAATAGCGAAGATCCTCCCAGTGTCAACAGAGACCTGTGATGGATGCGACTCGCTGCCGCAAGGCGCTGAGGTCCGCAGAGTGCTCGGTGTGAGCCTGGGGGGGTGTGGTGTGAGGGCGCCACACTGAGAGAATAGAGAGAAGAGTATGTGGATGGGAGGGATAGAGGTTAGGAGGGGGAGAGTTACGTAGGTGTAAGACTGGAGTGGACGCCATGCGGTATATGTTGAAAGGGTCTTATGTATCCGTTAATGCACAGGTGACGTGGTTGATATTAATGGGATGTAATATGAACGCGCAGGGCAAATCAGGCCAAGTGTTGAGTAACGTTCACATCGCTGATAAGAGCCTTGTGTGTTTATGGATAAATGGATAACGAGGCACTGACCATTCCCAACACAGAGCAACTGTCTCAATAAATTATAAATAAAAAATATCTAAAAAAAAATAGATTTTTCATTGATAAATCAAACTATTGTGATTTCCTTGTGCTACTTCTAATTTTGTTTGTGGCCACAACTTACAACTCGAATCTTTACAAATGTGACCGCTGTGAGTGAACAGACTGTGGGTGGGATACTGCTTGGAATCACCTTAGAATACCAAGTTGACTTACTCACAGACGTGTGATGAGAGGTCAAGTAATTACCCAGAGAAGGTGCTAAGCCAGTGTGACAAAACTGACCTTGCAAGGAATATGAGGACTGAAGACCCGGCACCCAGCCAAATCACTTGGGCTAATCCAGTCGTCTTCAAATGATCAGAAATAAGGATTTTCATAAATACACCAACATCACAACTTACATTTTGTAACCCAAAATAATTTAATTGAAGTTTATAGTATTATAACTGTTTTTTTTCTGTGCAAGAGCAATTGTGGTACACACTAGGTATTTTCAATTAACAGAATGGGCTATAAATTTTACAGCGTTATCTGTAAGAAATTGAAGAATTTCCAAATTGATGTCCCTTTTGAAATACTGGTGGCTCAATAACTGTTTTCGTTAAAGAAAAAGTATTTATGTGCAATGTTGCAAAACAAATCACCTATGGAATGACAATTTAGTAATGGATAAAATAATTCAACACACAGTTACCAACTCACCAAAGCAAAATTTAAAACAATTTCTTAACTAAAAAGACACTGAAAAAGTTGAGAGGTGACCCCGACAATGATTTATTTATTATGCACCCCATACCCACCTGTGGGCGGTAGTGGAAAGGGTTACAGAGGCACATAATGGGCTACAATGATTGTCGTCCGTCGTGTACTCCATTGGTTAATCCTTCACGAGGGACTGAAAGCCCGCCACGAGGTCCCCCAGCACCCACATCCGCACCTCCATCCTGTTTCCTTCCATGCTAGACCTCCTCCTCCTCCCAGGTTGCCTTCCTGTGAAGGACTGTCTTCCGGATCCCCAACTCCTCCTCAAACTCGAAGCAGCATCTCACAGGACTACAATCTCCTAGGACCCCTCCTACCCCCCCTCCTACCATCTCCTGATAGTACATTCAGCTTTCTTTTATTCCTGTTTTATATCTCCACCATAAACAGTTCAGCACAACGACATGTAAATAGTGTTCAAGCGAGCATCACATAAACACACTCTCAGCGTTGACTGGAAATCTAGCCACTACCTTCTGATAAAACTATTGACTGGTGCTGTTATTTCTTACCGTTTTCTGCCGTTGCGCCTGTTAACAGTAGTGCCGGGAGATGTAGTATTGGGAACCTGGTGCCGCCTTACCTGTGGGAAGATTGAAAATTGGCTGGTGAAGCTTGTTTAGATCTCTCGAAACGTATTAATTTATATCTTCTATATCCTTCTCTCTCATTATCCTGTCTTTGCAAAAGTAGGTCCCGTGTCTGACCGCCTCTGTCATTCCGTCTGTCACTCATTCTCTCTCTCCTCTCTATTCCTCTCCCTCTAAGGTGGTAATCTATCCCTTCCCACGTGTCTTACAAACTGCCGTCCACAATATTGTTGTCTAAGATTTAGGCTCGACTAATGCGCCAGAGATTCCCATTTCACAACATCTTCATAGTATTCATTTGGATCATCGGGAAATTTGGACCCGTCGTTGAATACGAACCCGTCGCTCTAGCCTCCAGGCCATGATGCTCAAAATAAGGAAGGTTTCAAAGGAAGGTGGAAAGTTGCGCCACAAGCCATGGCTAAAGTTTCCCATTTTCCATAGACACAGTACCCGGAGTGGCGCGTGGAGAGGACTAGTGCGGGAGCTGGCAACGATAACGAGTCTTAGAAATGTGAGGAATGTAATGTTCTGGTGTTGTGTCATCTAAGTGAACCACCCGCGGCCATTTGCGCTCTTTACTTGAGACGAAACGTCGTCGTCCCTTCAACTTCTAGTGTGTGGTCTGGTCAACATACTTAGCCACGTTATTGTGATAATATAATATAATAATAATAATAATAATAATAATAATAATTCTACTGTAAAACAAACACAGCCACAACATATTACAGAGGGTATGCTCGTAGCGAGAAGGTATATTTAAATTGTATACTAAACAAAACTACTAATACCCAAAGCGTCTCGGGCTAATAAAACAAATAACATAATACAACAGTGACATCACTCTTGTGATATAGATAGATAATATTATTATCTATCTTGACCGCTTGGCGTGTAGGTTTCCATCATAGATGGAGCCCCACCAGTGATGGGGTCACTTCCGTGTCTGCTCACTGCACTAACCTGACAATTATCGTACACAGCCAGTACAGGAATACGGCAGCTGGTCAACTTGCCAATATTACACTAATGACGAGCCTGAATAAATTATTTAATTCTTAAATTAAGTAATTTAAAATTAATAAATTTTAAATAAATAAAGTAATTAATTAATAATTAGAATAAATTAAGTAATTATTCCGCCACTTCATGAAACCCTTCCCAAGACCTCAAGTGACCTTGTACGTGGCTTGGGGGTCACCGCCACGCTGGGTTTGTGGAGCAAGATTAGGTTTTAAAGGAGGCAAGAAGCCCTCCCACGCCCCCCCCCTCGTAATATCGTCTTTAATAGCGACGATTAAGTTCGAAATGATCAAACTTACTGCAGTTTTTGTCTTTAATATAGAGTCAATATTTCGTTTTATTATCATCTCCCCGTTCCCACCTCCTCTTACCCCATAAAATATAAATATATAGAAGATATGTATGCTAACAAAGATAGAAGCAAGACATCTGTGCTAACGACAGTAGAAAGACATCTGTGCTAACAAAGACAGAGGCAAGACATCAGTGCTAACAAAGATAGAGGCAATACATCAGTGCTAACAAAGACAGAGGCAAGACATCTGTGCTAACAAAGACAGAGGCAAGATATCAGTGCTAACAAAGATAGAGGCAATACATCAGTGCTAA